AACTTCCTTTGGAATAAAAAGTGATCAAATGGATGATTTTTGGAGTGATTCTAATTGAAGGATGTTCGTGAGTCTTTCAAGATGACTGTGTCAAAATTTCAGATTTTTCTACTATAAGTTGTTTGACCGTGGCGAAGAAAAGAAGGTCCAGCATGCAGCTATCCCAAATTGACTTTTTTGATATTTTGGGTATTTTGGAGGTCAATATGGCATATTTTGGGGAATATTCAATATGAGGATTTGTAGGGGACGTCTCAAGCTTTCAAAAGAGATATTTTGGGACCAAATTGGAGTTCATTTGGTCGGTCAAAAGTGTGATTTTTTGAGAAGTCTGAATTTTAGTTTAAATAGAAAACCTTTTATTTTTTGTTTTATTATTTTATTATGTTCTCTAGTTTTATTCTAAGACCTTTTAGGGTTTTATTTTGTATTAGTATAAATAAGATATTTAGCCATTAGGGTTAAGAGAGGAGGAAACGCATGCACTACTCCAAAGAGTTTTTGAAGTTTACTTTCTAGGTGTTTTCTATCATTTTTCTATTTCAATAAATTCTTTTTGTTTTATGGTTGTGCATAACTAATTTTCGTTTGCTAGGGCGATACCTTGAGTCTTAGCATGAATATGTAATTTTTATTTAATTGCTTATGATATTATATATGCATACTTTGAATTATTAATCACTGTGCTTTAAACTGTCTCTATATCTTAATTCTTAGCTACCATTAGGATGTTTAGATAAGTAATTGGATGCAATTCGATCGGAATACCAACGGGGAATTGAGTATTGCTTTTTGTGATTAATAGTTGTAATTTCACCTAGGATGAATACCATGTCTTAGGGATTGCATGATTTTTCAAAAGGTTTTCACAAAGCGTAATGAGTCATGCATATTTATATTTGATCTGAATACTACAGATGGATTGCATGCTTGATATACGTTTTAGCTTGAATACCATGAGTAGAATATACATTAGGAAAACCTAACCTTCAAAGTTGCATGGGTAATTCGTAAGTATTTGATAAATCTACATAGGATTGTTAAGGGACGGCGGAATCCTAGGTTTTTACAATTTGGTTTTCAATACGTTTTCCTTTGTTTTCTTTACTTTGCTAATTTCTTTATTCATTTTAATTAAATTCGTTTTTATTATTTTTAAATTCAAAACCAACATGTCACATCCCGGCCCGGGGCGAATCACTTCCCGGCCCCGCTCCACCACCGTAGCACGATATTGTCCGCTTTGGGCTTACCATTCCCTCACGGTTTTGTTTTTGGGAATTCACGAGCAACTTCCCAGTGGGTCACCCATCATGGGATTGCTCTAGCCCCCTTCTCGCTTAACTTCGGAGTTCCTACGGAACCCGAAGCCAGTGAGCTCCCAAAAGGCCTCGTGCTAGGTAGAGATGAGAATATACATATAAGGATCACTCCCCTGGGTGATGTGGGATGTCACAATTCACCCCCGTTAGGGGCCCGACGTCTTCGTCGGCACACCACGACCAGGGTTAGGCTCTGATACCAATTGTCACATCCTGGCCCTGGGCGAATCACTTCCCGGGCCCACTCCACCACCGTAGCATGATATTGTCCGCTTTGGGCTTACCATTCCCTCACGGTTTTGTTTTTGGGAACTCACGAACAACTTCCCAGTGGGTCACCCATCTTGGGATTGCTCTAGCCCCCTTCTCGCTTAACTTCGGAGTTCCTACGGAACCCAAAGCCAGTGAGCTCCCAAAAGGCCTCGTGCTAGGTAGAGATGAGAATATACATATAAGGATCGCTCCCCTGGGTGATGTGGGATGTCACAAACCTCTTCCAATCTTTGTTTTCAAATAATTAATTAAGATTTGATATTTACATAAATTATTCATTCAATCCCTGCGGAACCTTTTTTGAGTCGTTTATACTACAACTACCTTGTTCTCTTGCAAGTATTTTTAAGTGTTTTTATCCCTATTTTTGCAGGTGGTAAAATCCATATCAATATCCATCGGTATAGACATTTAGGCACATTAATTCTTCATGAAATTTAGGTACATACATTTCGCTATTGATATTTTGGTACAAACATTTAGATATAGACATATCGGTACAAAGATGTCAACTTAATATTTTTTGGTATATTGATTTCTGTACATTTGTGTATTTACATATTTAAGTGTCACTAATTTCTTTTAATGTTTTCTCATTTAGGTTTTTTTATAATTGGAAGAACTAAATTGTGCATATTAATAAAATCAAAATTTTAATGTGGAAACATGAAATAAAAATACACATTAAATAACAAAATAGAATATAAATTTTAATAAAAATACATTTCAAAGGATTAAAATGAATATGTATTCTAACACCAAATTTTTTTTTTTTTTTTAATATCAATTTTTTTCAAGGACTAATGTTCAAAACCCCTTTTATTAATAGAATTAGTACCAGTAACCATCCCATAGAGCACAAGAAACAAGTTTCATATGCCTAAGCTTCAGAAGATACAATATCATTAAAATCCAACACTGAGATGGAATAATGTTCATGCCTTATTAAAAGCTAAGATCTTGGAATCTTTCGGAGGAGTGTTGGCAAACTTCTGCAACGCCATGAGGAGCACGAAAGCTCTCTCGCCAGCTACTTGGTCGATTGGTACAGCATCAGAAACTTCTTTCACGTCTTCTTCCGTCAGCTTCACCCCCAAGGAACCAATGTTTGCATCCAGGTTCTTAATCTTTGTTGTCCCTGCAGCGGAAATTGAAAAACAAATGAACAATGTGTTGATTGAGTGTGTGTTATTTTCTTCGCCTAATTCCATGGTGTGCGGACTCTCCTCAGGAAGATTAGTAACCGCAAGATATTTGAACAAACTTGGAGCTAACGCGGGATAGGTACGACATCAATTCCTTGGTGGAGAACCCATGTTAGTGCTATCTGAGCAGTAGAGCACTGGTGCTTCTTAGCAATGCTTTCTATTCGATAGTAAATGTTCTTGTTCTTGTCTAAGTTCTCTCCTGTGAACCGCGGCTGTGAGGCCTTCAAACCAGGGGAAAACAAGGTTTCAATTGGCACACATTTAAGAACAACATGATTTAGAATCAACATTTACTTCTACAATAGATGGAGCAGAAGAAATTACCGCAAAACTATTTGCAGGCAAACTTTCAACAACTGCTTTGCCACCGAAAAAACCACGACCAAGTGGACTATATGGAACTATTCCGATGCCAAGCTCCCTGTATGCAATAATATTCAACAAAATAATTCACACAAACAAGAGTTATTATCGTAACCCCAATCAACTTTCACAACTACAATGGATTTATACGAATGAGACCATCTTCAAAAGCACTCCCTCCCCCTTACAGAAACGGAATTATGAAAGCAATTCATATTAACACTTGTGCATAGCTCAGATTGGAACATACCTGCAAAGTGGAACAATCTCTTCCTCAATATCACGAGTCCAGAGGGACCACTCCATTTGCAGAGCCGTGATCGGATGAACTGCATGGGCCCTCCTTACTGTGTCCGGGCTGGCTTCAGATAACCCAATGTACTTTATTTTTCCTTCTTCCATCAGTTTCTTCAGCTCACCCATCTAAACTCCACGAAAAAACAAACCTAGCTAATAAATTTTCCAGCCAGGTACCCACTATTTCTACATGGGGATGTCTAATATTATACATTGTGGTTCTAAAGGAACAGAACGACATACAGTTTCCTCTATAGGCACCGAAGTGTCCACCCGGTGGTAATAATACAGATCAATGTAGTCCACGTCAAGACGTTTCAAGCTAGCCTCACAGCATGAGCTGAAATACTCAGGAGTTCCCTTCACTACCACACCAGCAGGCGGCACTATTCCAACAATACCAAACTTTGTGGCCAATGGAACTTTTTCCCTTGGCAACTGCTTCAAGGCCTAAATGGCATAAATTTTTCAATTAGAATTTCAGAATATAACAATCAAAACACAAATATATAAAAGGCAAGGACATATACATTCTGCTAATCGTCTACTACTTCACAAATTCTGTCTATCCTGCATCAAGCAATGCAGATACTTCACTTCTGAGTTAATCTAAAGAAGTAGCTTGATAAATTCACAACCGGAAATACATACCTTCCCAACAAGAACTTCATTTGTATGAGGTCCGTACGCATCAGCTGTGTCAAAGAAAGTGATTGCTTTGTTGAAGGCATGTTTTTAATTATAGCGATACCATCCTCATCGGCAACAGGAGAGTTGTAAGTCCCGGTAAGGCCCATGCATCCGAACCCCAACTTTGAGACCTGTAAAATTTGAAAAATGATGAAAATTTGGCCGAAATGTATCTAAACAATTGAGTATATTTACAACCACAGAAAGCAAGCATCTAAATCAACGCCTGGAAAAAAGTTTAGCCTTAAAACCAAAAGAAAAATCTGCATTTCTTCAAAGAAAGAAGAAAGATTGAAATTTGGGTATTGAAAGCATGAATGTGAGACTTTACCTCAAGTCCTTGGCTGCCCAGTTTAACTCTTTGAACTTGGACTTGGTTCTCTTCTGCCATGCTTCCAAAATTTTGGCCTCTCTCGCTAACTCTCTCTCCCTCGATTTTAAAAGTCGTCCCACTCAGTGTTGTTGGATCAGCTGGAGCCTGAAGGTTAGGTGTTTTTAAAGGGTTTTAATAAGGAATCCATGGAGTAGGACATTTGGTCCCCCATGTTTCGAGTCAGAAGGAGGAGGACTTGAATTGACATGTGTTAGCATGGAGCACGTAATGAATGACTGTCAGCCATTAATGGATGAAGTTATGTTTGAGATGCAGAAGAAACCGGTTTACATGTCGTATCATGTGGAGAATGTGGAAGGGGAAGGTTTGATGATGGTGATGCCGGCGCCAGAAGGCGGGCTCGCAAGGACGGTTATGGTGACATTGTCGGAGGAGGAGCTTGCCCAACTTTGTGAGGCAGAAGCTATTTCGAGCCTTAACCCTACAATGCTGCTAAGTGGGATACAAACTATATAAAATTTTCTATAGCTTTGAAATATTTATTATAATTTCAAGACTTTATAGACTTTAAGAATTGAGGATTTCTCAATTTTACAATAATCATTTAAGAGCATTCAACCTTACATTTGTTGTCTCGAGTTCAGCATTCAACCTTACATTCGTTGTCTCGAGTTCGACTCTCCCTCCCAAATATCGTAGTAACAAAAACAACCTACAACTCTACAAACACAACTGCCGCACTCTTAGGCATATCATCTAATGGCTTGGCTTAAATTTGTATCCTTCCTGATCTGTATGATGATTTATGCCTTTAATTCGGATTCCTTCGGGGAGTGTTGGCGAATTTCCATTGCAAGGGACTTACATTTTCGTAAGTTTTCTCGCCGGCTACTTCATCGAGAGGCACGGCATCGGAAATTTCTTTCAGGTCCTCTTCTTTGAGTTTCAGCGTCATAGCGCCAATGTTTGCATCCAAGTTCTTAATTTTCGTCGTCCCTGAGGAAATTTCAAAGCAAATAAAGTATAAACGAACAATGTAACTCATGTTCATCAAATTTTAAGGCATGACAAACTCATTGGCATCATGCAATGCAAACAAGATCTTGCAAATTTAGCACAGATGATCATCTTAGAATGCAAATGCAATCAGTGAGTTGACTCACCGGGGATCGGAACAACGTCATTTCCCCTGTGGAGAACCCATGAGAGGGCTAGTTGACCAGCACTGCATTCGTGTTTTTTAGCAAGGCTTTCGATCCGATAATATATCTGTTTGTTTTTCTCCAAGTTCTCTCCCGTCAACCGAGGATGTCCAGCCTAATTTACACACCGAAAATAAATCAAATTTCTTTGTTAAGTTGAAGATTAGCTTAATTAGCTCTGTTTTTCAAAACTTAAGTGAGCAGAGGATAAAAAAATGCGCATATGTAATGAAGAAATTAGTATCTACCGCATGAACATTAGAATCCAATTTCTCCAAAACCGCTTTTCCAGCAAAAAAACCACGGCCAAGAGGACTATACGGAACGATTCCAATGCCACGTTCCCTGCATACGTATAAATGTGTTACAATTTGCCAACATTTGCACAAAAACTTAAACGTCCGTATGGCAACCATTTTCGTTTTCAGTTTTTGACAACATGATTACCTGCAAAGTGGAACAATCTCTTCCTCGATATCACGAGTCCAAAGTGACCACTCCATTTGTATGGCTGTGATGGGATGAACTTCATGAGCCCTCCTAATCGTGTCCGGGCTCGCTTCTGATAATCCGATATACTTTATCTTTCCTTCTTCCACAAGTTTCTTCAGCTCCCCCATCTGAACTCCAACAAAACAAGAAAACCAGTATCTAATTAATCAGATTTTAGTCCGGACTGGCTTCGGATTGCGCATTTAGTGCAAATTTACGCGGTTTTAGGACCGAGGAAGAGAAGAACGCAAGTAAACACGGATTACATAATTTACATACCGTGTCCTCGATAGGCACGGATTGATCCACCCGGTGTTGGTAGTACAGATCAATGTAGTCGACACCAAGGCGCTTCAAGCTCGCCTCGCAGCACGACCTCACATACTCCGGATCGCCCCTTACTTCCGTACGAGGCTGTCTGTGTCCCATGCTTATACTTACAACGCCGAATTTTGTGGCTAACTGAACTTTTTCTCTCGGCATTTCCTTCAAGGCCTAAAGATTCATAAAATTTTACGTTCATCAATATTTGTTTAGCAATATCGAGAGTCCGATTAGCGGAGTTCGTGTAATTAATTAACTTAAATCGATCGATAATATACCTTGCCTACAAGAATTTCATTGTAATGATCAGTTCCATATACATCAGATGTGTCGAAGAAGGTGACTCCTTTGCTGAAGGCATGTTTTATTACTGAGATTCCTTCCTTTTCGGCATCCGGAGAGTTTATCCAGCTAAGTCCCATGCATCCAAACCCTAATTTTGACACCTGAAGATGATCAACGTGAATTAATTAATAATTTTTGGAGATACGCATCAATGGAATGTTTTACAAATATTCAATCAAAATTCAAAAGATTTATTGGGGAGGCCATAAACCAACAATAAAAGGGTATTAAAACGCGATGAATCCAAATCAGCATTGAAAGAGATTACCTCAAATCCTTGGGTTCCAAGTTTAACTCTTGGAATCTGTATTTCTTGCCCCTCTGCCATATTATTCCTCCTTTCCTCTGAATGATAGTTTCTTTTGATTGCTTCCTCTCTTAGAAGATGAAATCCCAAATGCGAGTAAGGATTGAGTGCCAGACATCACTGGTATATTATTTATATATACACACACACACACACATATATCTTTATATATTTATATATTTATATACTGACATCACTAAGTATGTCATTGTGTCATAGGGACCATTTACCGCAACGAAAATATATAAGGAATTTTAACGAAAAATTCACGGTATTGTTCATTTTAACGAAAAATTATATTTTTACACTAAAAAGTCAATTCTGGTACTATTCATTTTACCCTTTATTTTGCCATTATCATTAAAACTCAAAGTTTTCAAACCATTTTCATTAATTTTCTTAAATCTTATATATCCTTATATATTTGTATACTGACATCACTAAGTATGTCACTATGTAATGGAGGAGTATTTCGCACAACGAATAAGTTTCTCTGTGACAAAAAAGTCACAAGTTCAAAACATTGAAACAATTTCTTGCAAAATAAGGATAATGCTCCATATCCCTAGTATAATATATATATATATATATATATATAACAGTAGGATTGAGTGCCACACATCACTAGTATATTATATATATATATATATAAACATATATATCTTTATATATTTATTTACTGACATCACTAAGTATGTCATTTTGTCACGGGAACTATTTAACGCAAAAGAAATATTATTCATTTGTGACCAAAAAATCACTGATTCTGATAGTAGAAACAGCCCTTTTATACATAAAGTTAAAATTGTTTGCGATAAACATTGATTTTCTCTTTATGTATTTGTGTGTGTATATATACTGACATCACTAAGTATGTCAGTAGTCATCGGGAATATGTAGTGCTTTTGACAACTCGCAGCCATGTATTATGTCACTATCGACACCACTTGACATCATTGACTATGTCATACTGCAACTCGCTTGTGTAGTCTTTCCTCCATCATTGATTACGTTTCTATCCTCATCATATTATTTTCTTCATTTATGCTTATCCCCAACTGAAAGAGGATCAAGGATCATGTTTAGCCATATGGTTCTATAAAAAATTATTTTTTCATGAATAATATCAAACCATATTTTATATCATCTTCAACAGAGGATGTCAAAAGGCCTTAGGCCAAAACATAACCATTTGACAAAAAACCAATCTCTAATCGAATGAGGCTATTTTTTAACCCTCTCAATAATTTATTATTTTAATTGAATTACATTATCATATTAAAATAAAGTTTTTAGACATCTTTTGAGTGCTACTTGTCACTAAATGAATAAACCTCTGGATTTTTATATCTTTATATAATGAAAAGGATGTGAAAAATCGGTGAATAATTGAAATAAAATGAGGTAAGATAATATATAACGGTGAAAATGATGTGAGAAATAGTGTAGAAATAGCTTAGGTATTTATAAGAAAAAAAATTAGAATTTTTTTAGTTTAAAATTTTCGTCTAAAAATAAAATTCAAATGCAACAGTAATCTGACTTCAGCATGATGTCAGATATCATGTGTTTAGACAGGGGTAATCAAGCTAGCTGGCTGATTATGGCCAACCCGCTGGCTTGGTGTCTGATTTTTGGCCGGGTGGGGCCCACATTGGTCCTATGACGTCCAATCCCTATGCATCAAATGGCCATGAAACAATCGTAGGGTGTAATGGCTCAGGTGGTTGATGTATGAAGTTGGCGTGGAATTGACAGGGTTGGCAACTTTTGGCGTGTTCCAGGCAATCCTTCACCATGCTTGACCAGTAGTAGCCCATCCTTTTGAGCTAAAAATGCAGCTTTGGTGCAGACTGATGCGTTTCGCATACATTTGAGTGTGTTTCTTCCATGGCTTGATTAGCTTCTTCTTCACCTAGTCATCTTAGAAGTACTCCTTCAAAGAAGCATTGGTAGAGTGTTCCTTTGTAGTAGAGGAAGCGAGGTGCTTGTCGACATATTTCAGAGCGATGTCTAAGATAGTCCGGAAGCTTCGCATGCTCCAAGAAGTCGATCAATGGTTATCTCCAGTCTTCAGTGTCGACTGGAAGTACTCAGATGATGTTTGTATCATCTAGTAGCATTTCAATGATAAGCGGGATCACCCATCTTTGGTAAACTAGCACGTCTACAGCTTCGCCTTCTCCTAACGCCATACTTGAGGCTAAGTTAGCGAGAGCGTTCGCCATTTGATTTTCTTTTCTTGGCACATGTTATACCGTCACGTACTCAAATTTTTGTAGCAATTTAGTTGCTAGCCGGAAGTATGAGACGAGATCACCTTTCCTCACTTCATGATCAGTTAAGAGTTGATTAATTATGAGCTTAGAGTCGCCATACACTTATAGCATTGTGATTTCCATGTTGATCGCCATTTGGACTCCAATGATCAGCGCTTGGTACTCAGTGACGTTATTGATGCACAACTCGCTTAATCGGAAGGAATATGTAGTATTTATCTTTGTGGTGACATGGATACTACTCTTGCCCCTGCTCTGTCTGCTCGTGCAGATCCATCGAAAAACATCATCCATGTTAGGAAGATGTGGACATAGAACACCTCTTTGTCAGGCAGCCATTTGGTCTAACTCTCAGTTAGAAATAGCTTTCATATCAAAACGGGCTATACTTTAACCTATGACCCTTTAACCGGATTGATTGAAAATGGCCTTAAAGAATATAAATCCTCCCTCCCTCGCCCGGAACTACTGTAACAGTATTTTGAACAATATGCTAGGCAATAACAAAAGTTCATCTAAAAACCAAAAGTCAATGAAAATAAGTGAAGCTCTAGGAATGCATTTTCTCTTTGGTACCTACTACATGTACTATGCTGATCCAAGAATTTTCGATCGCTCATTTAAATCGTTAAATCAAATTTCACGATTAAATATGTGTTGTCATTGAATATACGTAGATACTCAAAAAATATATCTCAAGGCCTTGAGTTCCAAGTTTAATTCTTGGAATTGGAGCCCTTCAGCCATATTATTATTTTTGTTTAGTCGCAGCTGTTCTTTTGTGCGGATTAATTACAAATAGGTTGAAGAAAATAAAAATAAAATAAAAGGAACTAAAGGAATTAGCAGAAATGGGTATTATTTTTAGATAGAATAGTACCAGTAACCATCCCATAGAGTACAAGAAACAAGTTTAATTTGCTTAACATCATTAAAATCCAACACTCAGATGGAAAAACGTTCATGTCTTAGAAGCTCAGATCTTGGAATCTTTTGGAGGAGGAGTGTTGGCGAACTTCCACTGCAACGCCATGAAGATTCCGAGAGTTCTCTCCCCGGCTACTTGGTCGATTGGTACAGCATCAGAAACCTCTTTCACGTCTTCTTCCGTCAGCTTCACCCCCAAGGAACCAATGTTTGTATCCAGGTTCTTAATCTTTGTTGTCCCTGCAGTGGAAATTAAAAAACAAATGAACAATGAGTTGATTGAGTGCGTATTTTTCTTCGCCCAATTCAAGGGCGTGTAGAATCTCCTCAGGAACATTAGTACCTGCAAAATATTTGAACAAACTTGGAGCAAACGGCTTTTTAGTTATGAGTTCTAAATCACAATGTAGTGTACTTCGAGCTCAAGTAAAAGGAATTAATGAAAAGAAAGCTGCTTTTCTGTTTCTATAAACCATTATAAGAACACGCACAAGGCACAGCCCATTGGCATGGAAACAATGAGCTGCAGATGCGATATACCAGATTTCACATCAATTAAATTTGAAGAGAATAAAAATGTTACAAGGACTCACCTGGGATAGGTACGACATCAATTCCTTGGTGGAGAACACACGCTAGTGCTAGTTGAGGAGTAGAGCACTGGTGCTTCTTAGCAATGCTTTCTATTCGATGGTAAATGTTCTTGTTCTTGTCTAAGTTCTCTCCTGTGAACCGCGGCTGTGAGGCCTTCAAACCGGAGGTAAACAAGGTTTCAATAGGCACATATTTAAGAACAACATGATTAGAATCAACATTTACTTCTACAATAGATGGAGCAGAAGAAATTACCGCAAAACTATTTGCAGGCAAACTTTCAACAACTGCTTTGCCACCGAAAAAACCACGACCAAGCGGACTATATGGAACTATTCCGATGCCAAGCTCCCTATATGTGATAACATTGGACAAAATAATTCACACAACTAGAGTTATTTTCGTAACCCCCAATCAACTTTTACAACTCCAATGGATTTATACGTACAAGACCATCTTTAAAAGCACTCCCTTTTTTCCCCTTACAGAAACAGAATTATGGAAGCAATTCATAGTAAGACTTGTGCATAGCTCAGATTGGAACATACCTGCAAAGAGGAACAATCTCTTCCTCAATATCACGAGTCCAGAGGGACCACTCCATTTGCAGAGCCGTGATCGGATGAACTGCATGCGCCCTCCTTACTGTGTCCGGGCTGGCTTCAGATAACCCAATATACTTTATTTTTCCTTCTTCCACCAGTTTCTTCAGCTCACCCATCTAAACACCATGAAAAACAAGCGTACCTAATCAAATTTTCCAGCCAGGTACCCACTATTTCTAGATGTGGATATATAAAGTGTAGAACTTAACATGTTCAATATTTTACACTGTTTCTAAAGGAAGAGACTGACATACAGTTTCCTCTATAGGCACCGAAGTGTCCACCCGGTGGTAATAATACAGATCAATGTAGTCCACGTCAAGACGTTTCAAGCTAGACTCGCAGGATGAGCGGACATACTCAGGAGTTCCCTTCGCTGAAATAATAGGAGGATTCTTTTGTCCAACAAGACCAAACTTTGATGCCAACTGAACTTTTTCCCTTGGCAACTGCTTCAAGGCCTAAGTGGCATAAAATTTTCAATTAAAGTTACAGAATAACAATGAAAAAACACGCATATAAAAAGCAAGGACAGATACATTCTGCTAGTCGTCTACGACCTCACAAATTTTATCTATCATGCATCAAACAATGCAAATATTTTACTTCTAGTTAGTCTAAAGAAGTAGCTCGATAAATTCACAAGCGGAAACACATACCTTCCCAACAAGAACTTCGTTTGTATGAGGTCCGTACACATCAGCTGTGTCAAAGAAAGTGATTCCTTTGCTGAAGGCATGTTTTATTATAGCAATACCATCCTCATCAGCGACAGGAGAGTTGTAACCCCCGGAAAGGCCCATGCATCCGAACCCCAATTTTGAGACCTGCAAAATTTGAAAGAATCAGGAAAAGTTGAGCATATTTACAACTACAGTTAGTAAGCATCTAAATCAACCTCTGGAACAAAGGTTAACCTCGAAACCGAAAGAATTTAAAGCTCAGTTAATGTTCTTTTTGTCTGTCCTTTGAGAAGAGAGCCCAAAAAGCCTTGAAAGAATAATATGGATTACTAAGTTAGAGCAAATCTGATCAGTTCTATTGCAGAATCAAACATATTCACTCAACAAAAATCTGTCTGAAGAGAGAAAGACAGAGTTTGAATGAACTCTGGCCTCGTTTGGTGATTAGGATTGGATTGGATTACTCCTATAATTGAAGGTATGCTGAAGGTGGAGGTGAATGATTTTTCATTCCAAGAGGACTATAAGGGATTAGACACGAAGGAATTTTATCCCTTCTAATCCTACCACCATTTTCTAAGGATTGGAACGGAAAAGTTTTTTTAACAACTAATCCATCTTCTACCTTTAAAGTTTTTGGAAAAAAAATTCTTCATTTCTTCCTTCAACATACCTCGAATACAATGAGTTATCTCGAAGACAACAAGTTATCTAATTCAATCCAATCCAAGGCACCAAACGAGCATGTCTAGGAAACTAAGAGGGGTGTATTCAATTGTGATTTTGATGGATTTTAATTCTTTTAATGAATCTAGGGATATTCAATCACGATTTTAAGTGATTCTCTGAAATTTAAGGTGTATTCAATTAGAATTTTAAGATAGTTTATTAAAATCCTTAGAAAATTCGGGTGTATTCTATTAGGATTTTAAAGAATTTTATAATATTCTAGGTGTATTCAATTAGAAATTGATTTTAAAGAATTTGAGAAAGTTGAGGAATTAGAGGGAATTAGAGAGATTTTGTAATATATTTTAAACATTCACAAATCTCACATCTCCTCATGAGATTTCGAGAGAATTGAATCAAAATTTTATATGAAATCTTTACAAATCAATTAAACTCTATAAAAATCTATGAATTTATAAATTAATTAAAATCCCTCAAATTCTTAATTGAATACATCCCTATCCCTAAGAGGAATCATTGTACCTCAAATCCCCAGTATCCAAGTTTAACTCTTGGACGCAATATCCCCGTCCCCTCGTCATCCATACCATCTTTTTATTCTCTAAGATTAATTTACCACTCACCCATTGACCATCTTAATAAACATTTCACAAAACCAGCAAAAACTATGGGATTTGACCCAACACCAACAGGGTCATCATCAACTTCACTAAATTTTGCATTTTTACCACCAGATTTGGTCTGTTTACAGCAAAGAAGTTGACTTTTTTCCGGATTTATGCAAGTGGGGTTATCAGGAAATCTGATATGAACACAAACAACAATCTGCAGTTCTCCAAAGAAAGAAGAAAGATTGAAAGTTGGGGTATTGAAATTTGAAAGCTTGAATGTTAGATGTTACCTCAAGTCCTTGGCTTCCCAGTTTAACTCTTGGAACTTGGACTTGCTTCTCTTCTGCCATCCTTCCAAATTTTTGGCCTCTCTCTCTCTGACTCCCTCTCTCCCTAGATTTTAAAGGTCCCTCCCACTCTCAGAGTTGTTGGATCAGCTGGAGCCTGAAGGGTAGGCGGACTGTCTGTACCCGATTAATATTTTAAAGGGTTTTAATGAGGAATCTATCGAGTTTGACGGAGAATCCATGGCTTTTTCAAACCGTTTAAAACTTGAATTGAATTAGAAATGGGTCTAAAAATTCAAGTGTATTCAAAAAAATCGAGATAAAACGTATTCTTTAGAATGAAAAATGCACTATTTTATTTCGTTCATCCATCTTTTCTCTTGTTTCGTACATCCATTTTCTCTTGTTCGGTTCGTCATTTAATTTTATAGAGGAATAATCTTGTTTCGTTCGTCAATTAATTTTATAAAGGAATAAATTCTCTACCAAAATTTTGATATTATCCATTAAAAATCAAATCCGAGTTGGATGCACTAAAACTGAAAAGGAAATGATCTTTTATGCAAAAAGGAAATGCACCAGCCGGGAATCGAACCCGGGTCTGTACCGTGGCAGGGTACTATTCTACCACTAGACCACTGGTGCTAACTTGTCAATTTTAGCTCCCGCCTAGATATTAAGAACACGTAAGAGGGACTGAAAATGAAACTAAACTGAATATTGTCCTCAATTGCAAAATGACCCGTTGGTAATTATTATTATTATTTTTGTCCAACATTGGCCATAACAATCAAATGATCAAATATGAGACAATCACATGCAAATTGAAGAAAATGGTAAATTGTACCATGTCTTTTTTACTCTGTTACACACCTAGAATGTTTTTTTTCCTATCCAAACTCCTTTTATGTTTTAAATTATTCAATTTTCACAACTTGTATTTGCAACGCACACTTACGAATATGAGGTGACCGACCTTGAGGGTCCGACTCCTCTCAAGACCAGTCTTATTCCCGCATATAGAATTTGGGACAATACGGTGCTTCAATGCTTAATTTGCTAAACTCAAGCCCACAAAGCATGAATTACAACTACTTTAGAAAATCTTTCCAAAGTCTAAAGGAACTTGAAGGAAAAGACGTTAAGAAATGGGAACAGATAAAGTATAGAACACGAGTTTCAACTTTCATTTGTTATTAACATTATAAAAACTTCATCTTGAGCTCCTCTTTTTATTTTATTTTTTCACACAAGAGAGGAGTGAACGATGACTTTCTAGGTGTGTAAACAGCAGCTTCCGTTCACAAAATACAACGTCGTTCAATTCCGACAGTCAGATGGAAACGTTTCCATGTCCTAAAGCTCAGATCTTGGAGTCTTTCGGAGGAGTGTTGGCGAGCTTCCATTGCAGCCCCATCAGCAGTGCATTATCTCTACCACCAGCTACTTGGTCGATCGGTACAGCATCACAAATTTCGTTCAGGTCCTCTTCCTTCAGGCTCACCTTCAAGGAGTCAATGTTTGAATCCAGGTTCTTAATCTTTGTTGTCCCTGCAGTCGAAATTCAAAAACAAATAAACAGTGTGTCAATGACGAGTTCTAAATCACAATGTCATATACTTGGAGCTCAAGTAAGATGAACCGAAAGCCACTTTTCTATTCCATCTAAGACAACCATTATAAGAACAAGCACAAGCTCATTGGCACAGAAACAACGAGCTGCAGATGCAACGTTGCAGGTTTCACGTCAGTTGAAGTTGAACAGAACAAAAATGCCATGAGGACTCACCCGGGATAGGTGCGACATCATTTCCTTGGTGGAGAACCCATGCTAGTGCTAGTTGAGCAGGAGAGCATTCGTGCTTTTTACCGAGGATTTCTATTCGGTTGTACATGTTCTTGTTCTTGTCTAAGTTCTCTCCCATGAACCGGGGGTGTGAGGCCTTACAAAACGAAGAAAAACAACATGATTAGAATCAAACCCTACGCTGCCATTGTTCGTTATTCTACGGAACCAACATTTACTTTTACAATGGGCCGAGGAGAAGAAATTACCACATAACTATTTGCAGAAACACTTTCAACAACTGCTTTGCCACCGAAAAAACCACGACCAAGTGGACTATATGGAACTATTCCGATGCCAAGCTCCCTATACACGATAGCGTTGAACAAAATGATTCACAAAAACTACGATGAACTATACATACAAGGCCATCTTCAAAAGCATTCCCTTTTTTACTTACAGAAACGGAATGATGGAAACAATTCATGGTACCAGTTTTGCATAACTCAGAGTCTCAGATTGGATTTTGAACATACCTGCAAAGTGGAACAATATCTTCCTCAATATCACGAGTCCAGAGGGACCACTCGATTTGTATAGCTGTGATCGGATGAACTGCGTGTGCCCTCCTTATTGTGTCCGGGCTGGCCTCAGATAACCCGATATACTTTACTTTTCCTTCTTCCACAAGTTTCTTCAGCTCACCCACCTAAACTCCACGAAAAACAAACGTATCCAATCAGTTTATTCACAAGTTTGGTGATTTAGTTGATTGAGGAGGAGAATGACGTACAGTTTCCTCTATAGGCACCGAAGTATCCACCCGGTGATAGTAATACAGATCAATGTAGTCCACATCAAGACGTTTCAAGCTCCCCTCACAGGATGAGCGGACATACTCGGGAGTTCCCTTCGCTGAAAGAACAGGAGGATCCACCTGTCCAACAATTCCAAACTTTGTAGCCACTTGAACTTTCTCCCTTGGCAACTGCTTCAAGGCCTAAATTACGCAACGTTGCAGTTAGAATCACCGAACATAACAACCGCGAAAGGTAACGGTATCTGCACTTTTCTGCTCCGTCATACAAAACACATATAAAAACATGGAGACATATACATTCAGTAGTGCAAACACATACCTTCCCAAGAAGAACTTCGTTCGTATGAGGTCCGTACACATCAGCTGTGTCAAAGAAAGTGATTCCCTTGCTGAAGGCATGTTTTATGATTGCGATACCATCCTCATCGGCAGCAGGAGAGTTATAAACCCCACTCAGGCCCATGCATCCAAAGCCCAATTTTGAAACCTGATTAACAAAGAAAATAAAAATTTTGCAACAAATCAGAAAAAAAAATGGTAGAAATATATTATAAAAAAAAAAAAAGTTGAGCTACTTCCAAAAGGTAAGCATCTAAGTCAACCTCTGCAACAAAGGTTAACCTCAAAACTCAAAGGCCTCGTTTGATAGAGAGGATTGGCTTGGGTATGACGATTATTCATGAAAAAAAAAGTTGTCCCTTTTAATTCTACCATTTTGTAGGGACTAGGAGGGATATATTTTCTTCATGATTAACCTTCAACATGGACAAAATCTTCTCATCTATTTCTTCCTTTAAAATGCCTTAAATGTAACGAATGGTCCCATTGAAATTAGTCCTCCCTATCAACCAAGGCCTAATGAAAATGGAGCTTAGAAATCATTGAAAGAGGCAAAACAATTAAGTCTCATTTAGAGTCAAGGATTGGATCAGATTGGATCACTCAGTAGATTTAACGGATGTTGATAGAAAATAAATGTCAAGTTCCAAATTTGGTCTCAGCCGAATATAAGAGATTGGTCACGAGGGAAACTTTTCCCTTCCAATAGGATTTGGAGGTTAAGTTTTCTTTGTGACTAATTCATCTTCCATTCTTTATTCAACATACATTGAATCCAACGACTCTAATCCAATCCAATCATTGACACCAAAACAAGCCCTTACATCTCTTTCTTTTACCAAAAAATGGAGATTAGCAAACTTTAGGCAAATTTGATGAGTTATATACTACACAACCAACCATTTATTCACTTTCAAAACTTAATCTGAGAAACAAAAGACATAAATTGAATCACTTTCAGAATCTAAAAATGGATTGATTAATTCATTCATACCTGAAATCCACAGTTTCCAAGTTGCACTCTTGGAATCTGTATTCCCATCTCCTCAGCCATACTGTTCCCCTCCCTCTCTGAATTTCTTCAAAAAAAGAAAAAAGAAAAAGAAAAGCCAAATGAGAGAATAGATTTATATGATTTGAAATCACAAACTGCTGAACATTATATATACTAAAAGCTAGTTGAGCTAGGCATTGTTCAGAAATAGTAAAAGGGCGGAAATGCCCCTGGCTTCTCTGCTTTCTTCCGTTTCTCTCGTTTGCTTCGTGCGTTGGAGAGACAATTTTGCCCCTCTTTTCCACGCATCGCTCTTCGTTGATCGTTCCCTTCCATTTGAGAAAAAGACAGGAAAACAGGGATGCCATTGCCATTGCAGTTGCGTGGTGGAAGTAACGAAAGTCCATTCCTCGAAAAAAGGATAATAAATGCGAAGTGGCAGAAAATTAAGATTAAAGTCATGGGTTGTTGACAAATTTGGTGTGCTTGGTTAGAAAAATATGAAAAGATGGTTTGGTGTGTATGGTTTTTGTTTTCTAATATTTTCTCTTTTAGCATACCAAGGAAATTGATGGGCAGTTGATCATCGCTGCAAGTTTTGCTTTTCATTTGTTTTGGTTTTTTCTTTGCCTTTCACTTCCATCCTTTTCTACACTTTCTGCCGACGGAATGCCCTCCACGCGTTGATGATCGCTGCACGTTTTCTTTTCCATTTGTTGTTTTTTCTTCGGCTTTCACTTCTCTGTCTGTCATTTTCCATTTTCTATCTGTTTTATGCTTTCTTTCTTTCTTGCAAATTGTTAACGGAGCAGGTTATGTTGTTTGGAATTATAGGTACAAGTTTGTTTTGTTGTAAATTGGTTTCATGTTGACCGACAGTAATACATTTATACTAAATAATATGAATGTATTCCTGTCGATGTTTTAACCGACATGATTGATTTGAATTTTTTTTTTACAATTTTATTATTATTTTTTATTTACGAAATTTTTTCTATAACTTCTATTTTCCATTTTTTTTTAATTCTATTTTTTTCCTATAACTTTTATTTTACAAAATTTGTAGTTTTTAACAACATTTAACAAATTATTAAAAACATTTCTAGTTTTTCATATTTGTTAAAAAAAAAACATTTAACAACATGAAACTTAAACAACATTTAAGTTGTAGTTTTTAAATAATAAATTATGTTTGGTCCTATGGCCCTTGGTTGGAGATGGTTTTTTGTGAGGCCATCTCTAATCGAGGGCTGGCCAGAGGGCTTGTTTTAGCCCTCTGGCCCTCCAAGATTCTCCAAGATATTAATATTTTAATGAACAGTACATGGCCATATTTGCCTCCGTCTCCAACCGAGGGCCAGATGGCTCGTTTTAGCATTGCCACAAAAAACCGTCTCCAATCGAGGGCCAAAGGGCCATAGAGCCAAACATAATTTATTATTTAAATTTAAAAACTACAATAACTTA